ACGAACGTACGTAACGTACGTACGTACGTAGACGTACGAGAGTAGAGAGAGAGAGAGAGAGAGAGAGAGAGAGAGAGAGAGAGAGAGAGACGTACGAGTAGAGAGAGAGAGAGAGAGAGAGAGAGAGAGAGAGGTTTACTTACTCTTGGGTGCATGCGACTGAGAAGGTGTTGAAGGAGTGTTGTAGTAGTTCTTCTGATCTCCAAGCCCTTGAGGAGTTGCACCCATCACAGGAATCACCACATTCTGAGAAACTATGGCTGCTATAAAGACCCACAAAGCCATGCCCTCTCTCTTCTTCTCCATGCTTCCTTCCTCAACAACGCCAAACCAAGTATAACACATCTCAGAAGACATGGCCATGGATATATATATATATTTATATAATTGCATTCAAGAATTCAATGCATTATGGCTTTGTAAGGGGTTGGTGGCATTTTGCAGGTGCATTCATATGGGAATTAATAAGCTAACATATTGCTCATAAACACACCATTTGGGGGATAGTTTAATTTTTTAGTTGACCATAGTGCCCTCGGTGTCTCTGGAGCCATGTGTATTTTTTGTATCGGAGAACCACTTTCAACATAAAATCACCCGGGGTTAAAACATCCTAACTAATATTAGAGGTTTATTTTGTACTTTTAGTTTTATATCTTTAAAAATAGTTAAGTTGCACTTGTTCATGATCGAGAGCCCTAACAAACAATAATATGTTAGTAATTTGATAAACATAAGCAATGTGTGAAAAGCAGACTCTGGCGGACTACTTGGCCCATGCCCCAGCGGAGTATTCACCTGAGTCCAATTAACTCGGATAGAGATAAATAAAAAATAAAAAAATCTAAAAAATAAGAAAATATATTAAAAATAAAATTTAACAAAATACAACTAATTGTGATGTAAAAATATGCCAAAAAGTAGATTTTAAAAAATCAGTTTGTGATAGGGGGTATTTTTGAAATTTTTTATAAAAGATGGAAAAATGTAAAAATAAATATTATTGGCTAAACTACCTTCCAATCTTTCTCAAAATAATAGAAAACATAAGTAAACATATTACAAATATATTTCTTATTTTTTAAAATTATTTTTTATTTTTATTTTTATTTTTATTTTTATTTTTATTTTTAAGATCCCCAAGTTGGATCTCCAACCTTTGCCAAGCCGAGTGACTCAACTAAGTCGAAACGACTCGGTCGACTTTTAGAACAATGCACCTAAAAGGGCCTGGCCCAATCGGTAGTACCCTATTTATTGGAGTCGGGTCAAATTACTTTTTCAAGGCTCCCCATCTTTAATCAAGGGGTGTTTTAGACGTTTTTTGGGAGAATTTTTGCCGTGGTACTAAAATCCCCCTTGATGATTTTGTAAAGAGTTTTGGGTACATTTTCCCTTCTTTTCTCTCAGGTTATATTTATGTTTAGAAAAATATTAGCTGCTCCTACAAGACAAAACTGTCCGTTTGGTCCTTCGGATCAAAGATAGAGGGATTTGATGGATGCCAAAACTATCAAACCATAATCTTACCATTCTAAATTCATTTAATTAAAATGAAGCTCAAAAAGTAACCCCAAATAAAAATCCGCTTCTAGACTAAATGTGGACAATCCAAGAAAAAATGGACTCCATATATGTGGAATTCTGACCTCATAATTAGTTTCTTTCGTTTGTCTTTATTAAATCAAAACGATCCTTATGAGAGTGTCTTAGGCCATTCGGATCTCACTAACTAGGTGTTATTCCTGCAGGACCAATTATAGAATTCGGCCATCCAAGACCACCACAAATGCACTACCATTTTACAATTATTTGGAGTTCCAATATTTTGAAACCCACCAATCTGGATTGAGAATTGCCAATTCAAAAATTGACCAGGAACCAAATAGTTCTAAGAAAGTATGAGTACCGACCTGGTGTGCCCTCAAAAAAAAATTCAATTTTATATCTTTTTCTTTTTTTCTTAAGCTTATCTATTGTTTTTTTAGGTCCCTTAAATCTAAGACAAGCTTGACTCTGCTGAATGGTGGATTCTTCATTCGAAGCTAATTTTTCAGTGCTTATCTTTTCTATACTGTCATGTCTCTCGACTTCAGTTACATATAATTATTTATCAACGGATCCAGTTTTGTGATCTTGAGACTGAATTTTCATATTTTCATATCCCGAGAAAAATAAAAAGGGTTGTTGCCGTTCTAGTTCGTTCGAACTTATACATTTCTTTCGATTGAAAAAATTGATTGGTATACCCTTGTGAAGATGTTGCTGTTATGAACACTGCAACTCTTAACGATATGAAATTGGCAATTGTGAATAAAACAAATGAGAGAGAGCAAGGACAGATGCATCGCCATATTTCCTGGTATGTATTATCTAACTGTGCTTTTGGTGGATCATGTTTGACTGGGGGTATAATTGTACTTCTTTTAGTTTATTTGTTATGTTAAGTGAGAAAAATGGGATTCAAACTAAAAGACAAGTTGGAGTGTTGCCATTCTTGGATCCTAACCACAAAGCCAGATGCCTAACCTCTTCTTTTGTGTGGTATCTTGTTTGAGTTCATTTGTACCTTGGAGGATCATGTTGATGTGATTCAATGCCAAATAAGTCTCCAAATAATTAGCAAATGGAAGGTAAATAGAAGACGCAATAATTAGCCTTTTTTTTTTAGGCATACAAGAAAAGTTTGGAGAGATAAAAAAAAAAAATTAAGAAAAGTCTAAATTGGGCCAGGCCAAGGCCAAGCTTCTCAGTATAATTCCGGGCCTTAACGGGTGGTACCAGGCTTCCAGACTTTTAACGTGTGGGCCTTACTGGGCATAGCTTTGGGCCAGGTATAATCAGGTCCGGGCTTTCTCGGGCTTTGGGCTGGCCGGCTCGGGCTCTACCAGTTTACAGCCCTACTTAAATCTTTCCATAAACCCTTTTTTATTTTTTATTTTTTATGTTTTATTTTTTAATATTTTCGTGATCATCAATCTGGATGAACCCTTTGACACAAATCTATGAAGTGGACGATCCACATATCCGAGTTTTGAAATACGGTTAAGTTCACTCCGTTACCATTTTTTGCGGAATACAATTGTGTGTATTGAATTCTTCTTAAATGAAATTTATCAAATCTTGGTAACCATGCCCGTAGGGTATGCTTGGCTACTTTGGATGTTAGGGAAAGTATTACGTACAAGCTTCACAGTCCCTCCCTCATAACCTTCCATAATGAAAAGACGCGTTAGATGTTTCCTATTTACAAGTCCTTTTATGAGTCTCTTGACATTGTATTAGGGGTGAGGTTTTTATAAGGCTTGCCTTTTATTAGGTAGAAGTACGGTATATTTATAAAATTTATTTAAAGATGTCGTTTCGATGTCGAAAACTTTAAAATACTTCAAAATCTCCTTTTATCCTTAGTTATAAAATATAAACTTTTAAAAATGATACAAATCGAGCATAACAAGAAACACTTGAAAGTCTTGAAAATAGACAGTCCAGATAACTTATTACAATATGCACTATTTTTTTAACTTATAATTCTTTTTTTTCTTCATGTCCATTCATCTCAAAGTCGAAATGATTCGTTGGAGGATTTCCTTATGCTAAAACACTCTCCACTATGTGATTGCTTAGATGCACCTTACTTCAACGGTATAAGGTTGCAACATTATATAAACTTCTTCCTTGTGTTATTATTTTTTGACACTCTAATCTTATTGACGTATTATCCCACTTTAATCGTTCGGATCCCAAATTTTATGTCCACCATTCCACTCTTTTTTCCTTCTAACCCTATAACCACAAGCATGTATATTGTACCCTCGGAAGTATAGTTAATTTTACTCCCGCATAAGATCTAATTAGGAATTACTAAGAGGCCGTTTGCGTACCTCGAAATCTATTACATCAAAGTCGATTATGAGGAAATATGGGATTTCCATGGTGCGTATCTTTGGCCTATTTCAGTTTATCGGTTTGTAGAGGTGCTTCCTTCCTTAGAGCCGGTACCTTCTCTCTTGATCTCTAATAACTGGTTTGGGTCCCTCTCTCTTTAACCCCTTCTTCTCACATGTATTTTTTTTAGCCCTTTTTATCTTTAAACCCTTTTCTCTCATCTGGACTCTTTTTTTTAACGCCCCTTTACGCTCTCATGTCGACTTTTTCCATTTTCTCTCCTTAGCATATCCATTCTCTTTAGCATATCTAATCAATGAGAAATTACATAGCACAATTATAATAAAAAATTTCACCCAACATAATAAATTACACAACACAATTTTAATAAAAAATTTCACCTAACATAGTTCTCATGAGAGATTAAAAAATTTCACCCAATATAATAAATTACACAACACAATTATAATAAAAGTTTCACCCACATAATCCTCATAAGATATTAGTAAAAACTCAATTGAAATAATATACCTCTTTAGTTTCCTCCAATACCTCAAAATTTTCTACTGCAATTACCAAACCTTCTAATTTACTAATCAAACTTCTTCCCATTTTTTAACTTGTATCATAAATTTTTTTAATTTGGTATCATAAATTTATTACTTATTTGAAATTATATAGATAGACATTTGAAAGACTTCTAAAAAATAAATAAAAATAAGGCCTACCACAATAAAAACATGTTATTGTGTGATGATGATGACTTTAAGAATGATACAAGTTATTATTAGAAAATATTTTTGGAATGAGGATGATGTTATTATTAGAAAATCTTTTTGGAATGATGTGGTGATGGCTTTAATTCCGTATTTCATTAGAATTTTGTGACAAAAAAAAAAAAGAAATGATAGTTTATAAGCAAGTGCTCGTAAAATGTTGGTAATGCATTTCCCATATTTCTTCCAGACATAGCAAAACAATAACCGTGTATTTCCCACGATGCATCTCAATACTACCCAAACAGTAACAATCCATTTGCAGGTAATGTATTATGCCATCCAAATGGCCCCTAAATGATTATTCTAGAAAAAAGAAATGAAATTTGAATTTTCTAAAACTTGGACCTCACCGTATGAAACGTTGATGGTCTCCATTCAATCTCGAAATATTATGTTTTTGCATGTGCATAGAGGATAGTGTGCAATACGCATGCGTACATAGATCTCCACACAACGACTGAAGACCTTTATATTTTAGTATTCAACAACCTAAATATCTTAAAAGCGAACTACTTCATCACTTACAAATTCAGGTTTTTGTGCCGATTAAAGCTCAACAAATAAATAATAGAGAATTAAGAGAGAGGTATAGGAAGAAACTTTGCCATTATTCCCAGTGTCGGCATTGTACACGGCGCGTATGGTCATTTGTAAAAGCTAAAGTAGGACAGTAGGGTAACTTTGGAATGAAGTGCAAAGAATCCTGGTTAC